TCTACGTGTCGGTTCATGACACCCGATCCCTTAAATCTACGTGTCGGTTCGTGACACCCGATCCCCTAATACTACGTGTCGGTTCGTGACACCCGATCCCCTAAATCTACGTGTAGGTTTGTGACACCCGATCCCCTAAATCTACGTGTCAGTTCGTGACACCCGATCCCCTAATTCTACGTGTCGGTTCATGACACCCGATCCCCTAATTCTACGTGTCGATTCGTGACACCCGATCCCCTAAATCTACGTGTCGGTTCGTGACACCCGATCCCCTAATTCTACGTGTCGGTTCGTGACACCCGATCCACTAATTCTCCTTCTATCAATTCATCAAGCCTTCTTTCTTACCAAGGAATCATCAATCCCATTATTTTAGTTCATCACGCCTTCTTTTATACCAAGGCCTCATTATTAACAAAGAGATTAGGATTTTTCAAGATTTGGGATTCAATAAGTTCATCATGCTTATATAATCACAATTATATAATTACGTTCATGCAAGCATACAATTAAGCACATAGCAGGGTTTACAATATTATCAATACATATATTTCGCTATTAAGAGTTTACTACGAATATCGTAAGAGAAACCATAACCTACCTCCACCGAAGATTTCGTGATCAAGCAAGTGATTTCTCAAGCTTTGTGTTTTTTCCTCTCGTTCGACTTTCTTTCTCTTTCTCTTGTTCTTTCTATTTTCTTTATTCAAACCCTTTTTCTTTTACCCTAATTAGTATATAATTAAGAATAAAAGATGACAATAATAACCCACTAATTAACTTAAGGTTACCTCTTTTAACCCCCAAGTAATTAGACTTATTAACATTAACCCACTAACTTTATAATTAAAGCAGGAATAGTCAAAAACGCCCCTTAAAACGTATAAGGAAATCCGATCCAGACTGGGATTACCAGTCTGTGACGGCCCGTCGTGCCTGCGACGGTCCGTCCTGCAGGTCGTCGTAAGGTTCAGAGACTCAATTTCCACCAAAGAGTTTGTGACGGTCCGTCACGCCCGTGACGGTCCGTCCTGCCATTCCGTTACGAAATTCAGAGAGTCGATTTTCAGTACCCAATTTCAGAATTTCTAAGTGTTTTGAAACGAGACCTCTCGACGGTCCGTCGTGCTCATGACGGTCCGTCGTGGGTTCCGTCGTCCCAGCCTGTTTTTCCAGAAATAAAATCTGCTGCTCAAAACGACTAAACAGGTCGTTACATTTTATCTTTGCTTTTGCTTTTGCTTTTTATTCTCTCTGTATTTCAATCTATCTATATATTTTTGTGTGTTCTCTATATTCTTTGTCAACTGAATGTGTCTTTTTATAAAAGTTTTGAGAGTCTGGTGCTAATTTAAAGGAACGTAGTAGAGTGAGATTAGAATTTAATTTGAAAATTAGCTGAGAAAATTAGGGTCGAGATAATGATATATAAATAAAATTAAAAAATAATAATAATAGCAAATTGACAAATAAAAATTAAAAACAACAACAAAAATAATCGTGCAAAAAGAAATAAAAATAAAAATAAATAGATGAGATGAAGATTTTTAGGAAAATAAGTTAAGAAGTTGGAAATAATTAGGATAAGGTAAAACAAATTTGAAATTATTTAGGACTCCTCTTTTCTTTTCTTTTTCTATACTCTTTCATAATATTTTCTATATTATTATAATTTTTAGACTAGATAGAATTAATTAATAACTTAAATTCCCAACTTCTATTTATTATTTTTTTCTATTATTAAACTATAAATGATTTTATAATTTTTATTAATTATTTTTTATTTTATTTTAAATATCACACCCCTTTTTCAAATTGGTGTAAAATATTGATGTTTTGATAAAAAAAATTTTAGATATTCACAGATAAAACTAATTTATTTTAAAGGTTACAAGTTGTTCACTCTCTTGCTACAGAATAACTTGAAGGAAAAAAGCAGGACAAAAAAAGGCTCACAACTGTTTTTTGTTGTAATGAAGTTGAATCTGGAATAATCGTTTTTAGATTATTGAAAAATATGCAAAGTCACGTTGCTTAAAAAATGTCAACATGAACAACTTGAATTAACACTATCGTTCAAACAAATTGATGAATACATTCATTAGTTTGACCACAAAATGCATGTAGACATGTTTTGCTTAAGGTAGATAATTGTGCAACCCATAACAGTAATAATGAAGGACTACAAAATGTTGAATTATTATTTTTGCCACGCAACATGACATTCAGAATTCAATCTCGAGATGTTGGGCAATAAGAGCTTTCAATGTATTACCGTAACATATTTTATCGTCGGATATTATAAGGCTATGAAGTAGGACAAACTAATTCAACAAAAATTAATATTCTGGATGATATCAATTTTGCAGTTCCTGCTTGAACAACAAGTTTCGTCAAGAAACAATAGCAAATTATTTTCGACACTGTAAAATTTGTTCAGGGGATGCAATCTCAGAAAATTTGAATGAACCCACTTGTGAAAACATCATTCATAATAAAATGGATGGCAATAACCTGTTGGATCATCCGGGTGAAAGTGATAAATGTTCAAAGGTCTGATCTTAGAAGAATTGTGGATACCATCAAAAAAACAATGTTGATGGTGAAGCTGAAAAGAATATCACACATTTGGAACCAATTACGTGTAAGGAAATACTTATCACATCTAGAATTCTTCACAATTTTATGGTGCAGTTCGAGAATATAACTTTGGAGCTCTTGCATGCAATAAGAAAAGTTAAAGATGAGCTTCAACTCGATTTATTTTTATTAAAAAAAATGTTGAACACAATAGAATCATATTTCTCTAAAGAATTGTTAATTCATGATATTAATAAGGCCATATATTTAAATAGAGTTATTCTGAAAATATATAATCCTATTTTATTGAAATTAATGATTTTTTTCATTGACAAAAATCAGGATTGAGAAAAAAATATTATTTTAAAAAATATTAATTTATCGAGTATTAATTAACTAATATAAATTTATGGAAAAATTACATAAATTGATATATTTTAATAAATAATTACTGATTTTGACGATACTTTTTATTTATTACCATCTATATCAACTTTTTTTAAAAAAAATTCTTTTCTCTGTCTCGCTCTTTCTTTCTCCTTATCTATATCTCGCTCCCTTTTTTTTCTTTCTTTCTCATTTTCTCTGCTTTTCTATTACTCGCTCCCTCTTTTTTTCTTTCTTTCTCATTTTCTCTACTTTTCTATTACTCGCTCACTCTTTTTTTCTTTCATTCTTTCTTATTTTCTTTCTATTGTCCTTTCTTTCTTTCTTTTTTGTTGTTGCTCTGTCTGCTCTTACTGTTGTTCCCCCCCCCCCCCCCTTTTTTCGTAGTACATTCAATGATTTTAGACTCTATAAAACTTATATCAATATTTAATTAGAGAAGTAATATAATCGTAACAAATAAAGAGACATAAAAATCTGCAAAATGAATTAAATCTAAATTAAAAATGTATTACAAACATATTAAAGTTGAATTATTAGAAGAGAATTAGTATGATCGATAAAAAAAGAAGAGACATAAGAAACTGCAAAATAAATTAAACTTGAATTGAAAATGTATTACAAACATAGTATAATTGAATTATTAAAAGAGAATTAAATCTGAATGCAGAATGTAGAAAACAAAAGAACATTCTTTGATATGCATGTAAATTGAATAAAACTTATATCAATAATGAATTAAACAAGGAACCAATTGTAACAAATCAATCAATTCATTGCGATATGCATTAAACATGTATTTAAAAATGTATTACATAAATATTAAAGTCGAGGTAGAAGAGAAAATTAAGCATGAATAAAAAATGCAACAAATGAAATACTAAACAGTGATTTATAGAGTGAAATAAACTTGTATCAATAATGAACTAAACAAGTAGCCAATATGAACAAATAAAAAAAAACTGCAAAATGAATTAAATTTGTATTAAAATTGTATTACACTGTGTTAAATTTGAATAAGAAGAGAGAATTAAAAATGAATGAAAAACGTAGCTAAAGACTGTCAGGACAATGTTCTGTAGAGTGAATTAAATTTGTATAATAATGAATTAAGCAAGTATCCAATAATAACAAATAAACAAAAAAAAGTGAAATGAATTAAATTTACATAAATTGTATTACACATTATTTAAAGTTGAATTAGAAGAGAGAATCAAGAATGAATGAAAAATGTAACTAACGAAAGACATGACAATGATGTATAAACTGATAAGTTATATGAGTAAAAAATTAAACAAGTATCCAATACTAATAAATAAATAAAAAAACTTCAAAATGAATTAAATCTGCATTAAAATTATATCATCTAATTTAATTTTAATATAGTTGCAAGACAATTTAAAATTATATTTAATTCATTGCAATATAATATTTCTCCTAAAATCAATTATAAACTTAATCAAACCCTCTTACAATTAAGACACGAACTTAAAACAACATTTTCAATTATTTGTAAGAATTACCTATTCAAACTTATCACAAATTCGTAAAATGCAAATAATGTATTCAAAATTTGAAGCTATAATGATTATCAATGGTGAACTCTTACTTTTGTAATTAATTTTAATGATTTACAATTTCTGCTTTAAAATTCGATTTTATATAATTTTGCAATCTTTTTTTTCTCTTTTCCTTTATTTTTGGATAAAAATAGTGACATGGACATAATGAAATATGAAAAATTGATTTGTTAATTAAATAAAAATTGAAAGAAAGAAGAATAATTAATAAAAAAGAAAAGGAAAAAAAAGAAAAGAGAATACGAAGACAATAATGATAGAGAGAAAGAATAGAAAATGAATTTTTTCAAAAAAAATTAGGGGGCAAAAGAACCAAGAAAGAAAGCGAGTACATTTTTTTTAATTTCACAAAATTATTATATTTAGCTATAAAAAATTATATTAATATAAATGATAAATATTTTTTAAATATAGTATATTGTATTTAAAGCAGCTTCTCACCGTTAAAACACTCCCTTTTTCATCGTGTTCGTCAGATCTGGTTGTCTCTTTTTAGGTATTTATCTCCTTCATCGTTGTCTGCTCAATGCATTTGGTTCTTCGTGTAATCTTGCATCTTCGTCGATTTTATTTCCTTTTTTTGTGTATGTTTGGAGGTATGTATATGTTTTCGTATTTGAGCTCCTTTTTCGAACTGAATCTGTTTTTTTTTTTGTTTTTTTAGAGGATTTGTAATTTGTGGGTCTTAAAGCAGTGGTTTAGGGTTGAGCTACCCTTGAGTGTTGTACGCACACATGCATTTCTTTGAATCTGCTATTTGAGATGAATTTAAGTGTTTCGGGTGGTTGTTATGTGCAGAAGCCGTCTACAGAAACTAAAATGAATATAGTTTCATCAAATTTTTTCATTTGTATAAGCTGCTAATATGCTTTTTTTGCTTTTCTTTTTCTCTGAACAGCTACAGTTATGAACGGAGCAGTGTCATTTGGTGACCAGGTGGAGATATCATCGGGTGACTCATCTTCCTCTAATACAGATGACACGATAACGGAGAGCAAATGGATGAAAAATACCATCACCATCGATCAACCTGTTAGCAAATTTGATTCTGAATGTAAGTGACATAGTTCACATAATTGTGATTGTCTAGTGATTTTCTTAATCTACTTGCTGAACAAGTGTCTACATATGTGTTGCTTTGTTACTTCCAAATAAATAGACAAAAAGTTCTTCTCTTCATTATGTTTGGGATTTATTGTGTAGGTAGAGAATTTTGATTGGGCTGTTAGCATAATGTTGTGTCCTTTAATATTGAAGCTTGGGAATCGAAGATGGACCTAGGAATTTAACTATCTGGTCAAGATTTCATTTCGAACTGTTGATTGCTGAAAGTTGCATTAGCAAGCAGTTCATGCATAAGTAAAGATTGGTAGAATGTTAAGCAGAATGAATTTGTCAATTCCATCGTACATCTTTCCCACAGTTTATCTTACAGTTTTTGGTGTTATGGGATTCTGTAATGAAGTTCAAATACGCTGGATCTTTTTAATATGAAGCTTTTTTGCTAAACATATATCATCTATAGCTCTTCGGTTCCACTTGTTTAATGTAAGCTAAGAGCATCCAGATAGAAGTGATTTGAAATAAAGTTTGTAAACAGTTTGATTTTCCTTCCTAAAAAATTGTATTATCTATGTATAGAATATGCGCCAAAGGTGAACTTCCATTATTTCCTTTGATTAAGTAAAGTGTTTGTTGCATTAATGGTATCAAGAAGATGTAATACAAGTAGAAGATAAACTTGGTTAATCCCTTGTACAGAAAAACATGAATCTAACCAAAACTATAAAAGTTTTCTGCTGATCCAGAGTAAGAGGGCTAATAATATCTAAAAGGAGGATAACTGCCTTTTTTCTCCTTGGAGCTATGCTGCCATGCACATATACCTTCTATGATAGCTTTCAGCCACCTCATTTCATCTTTCCGGTCAGTTTTAGTTCTTTTCAGTGGATTTTCACAGTGGCAATGACTGTTTCTCTTCAATCATTTTCTAGTGACTGCTTAGAAACTCATGGCTTTTTTAAATGGGGAAAGATACGATTTATTACCATGCCAGTTTTGAATCTTTTGATATCAGGCAAGTCTTTCTCGAAAATCAGAACGTTGTTCGAATATGTCAAACCTAAGTTGCTCGGACTCTGCGAAAATGACGCCGGACCCGTGACGGATCCTTCAAAGTTCCATTATTTTTGGAGGATCCGACATGCACTTGTCGACATTTTGGAAGAGTCCGAGCACAACAAAAATTCATAGAGGCGAGTAATTTTAAGCCTTAAAGTTATGGAGTGGGTTGGTCATGTAATTAATACATCATCCAAGGAACAACTGTTGACAATCAGATGATGGAAAATAAGGGACCATTTCATGTTACAAGAGGGGGTTGCTAGGATGATAAACACCCTTCACCTCCAACCCTAAGGTTGTGGGTTAAAGTCACCAAGGGAGCAAAAGAGGTGGGAGTTCCTAGGGAGGGGTAAAAAAAAAGGGACCATTGTGGTGATTTTTTCTGCACTCTTTTAAACAATGAATTTGGAAGGTACATCAGTTTTATTGCAATATGAGGGGGTAGTCAAGCCCTAATTATTACTCCAGAGGTGACATTTAATGCTGGATGGTCGGATGTAGACCAGAACATCACAAGATTCATAAATGCTTCATGACACCTCTTCTAGTGATGTAGAGCACGTATGGGAAACAAAAGGGACACAGGCATCAACATTCAAATTGACGTGCTCCAGGATCTCGGATCTCCATTCCTGGAAGCTCTAGGATCTCCGAAGTAGACACAAGGAATCTGCATATTCTTGATCTAAAAGTTGAATCCTATGACCTGGACCAACTAAAAGAGTTACCTGCCACATGCAAATAAAAAAAGTGGTGCTTATCAATGAACTCCGAAAACTCCTCTATGGCCCTCGACACCACCCAATACCCAAACCTCTCCTTTGGGAATGCATTCGAGAATCGAACTCCTTTGCTTCCCCTCTTTGAGATCATTTATCTCTTTTTCTCTAACCCATTTTGCTTCTTTTTCAATTTCTCGTAGCGATTTTAACATCTTATCCTTTAAGGTATTTCTTTCCTACCTACTAACATGCCTTGCCCAACCTCAAAGCAAGCCAACGCCAGTGCATCAACTCCTGGAACGCCATTACAGCCACTTCAAGAGGAAGTTGGCCTTTATCTTTTTTTTGCGTGGTGCAAAAAGATATTCTTGACTGCATATTAATTGAAGTACCTACTTCATCAGAGATCCCAGTTTTCTCGTCTATCCTGTATGTTGACCTTCCCTTCTCCGTCTCTTTCCCTTTTTCTCCAGCTTATGTCCAGACACAACCACCAGCTACCAGAGAGCCTGCTCATTGAGTGTGCACAAAGAGAATGTGGAAGGACATTTAAGCTCCTCACAGTTTTCATATCTCTTATTTCATCATTTTGCTTCCAATTGCTAATGCACATAGGGTTTTTCTGTTTGTTCATTCTTGATTTTGGATCTGTATGAGTATTAAGAGAACTTGATTTTGGATTTGTATGAGATTTAACAACAATGGAGCATTAACTTCATTTCGGGCTGAAAATGATGAATAACTTATTCTCTTCTGTCAAACAAGTTTCCTGCATCCTTGAAAATGGTTCAGATAATTTTAGAATTAGGAGATTTTCATAAAATGCAAATGCTGCATCGCTTGCTTGTATAGATTTTGTTTTTCTTCTCCATTAAATAGATCATGAGACAATTATTATACTTCGATTCAAGAAAAGCTTTCAGAAGAAGAAAATGTTATTACTTATAAAATGAAATAAGAAAAAAAGACACTACTTTGCATCAAGAAACTCTATTGCCAAACAACAATTGAGTTTCAGTTGAGATGAGAAGAAGGGCTGGTGGAGAGGGGAAGCAAAAGAGGAGGTGTACATAGATATTTTTTTTTGAGGATAGTGGAGGTGTAATAATTTTTGTTTTTGTGGTTAGTCAAAAATGAGAAAATTAGATGGGAAAGTTTACAAGACACCCATCCATGTCAATTTTTTAGCCTCATCAAATTAGGAAGATAAGGTGTATATCTAATTTGCTTCCTTGTGATCTGTACCAATTCACGGACAATCTCTGGCTAGAAGTAGCTTCATTTAATAGAAGGTGGATGTCCCAAGGAAAATTCACATGCACAAATCTCTGTTCAGTTCAATTAAAACATCTCCATCATGATGTCAAAGCGCAAGTCTGACAGGTCTCTTTGATGATGGTATTGATTCTCAAATGAGTTACTTTTCTGTTTTGTGAGTACGGGTATTGTTTCAAAGATTTTATGTTTAAGTCTTTTTTCAAACTAATTGAAGCATGAGTGACTACAGTGCAAGGTTACGATGTATCTTTACTTAATTCGTATCACTAGTCTTACACACTCTGTATTACAGATTCAATCTTTAGAAGAGCAAGAATGTACCAAGAGTACATGAAGGTGGTCGCTATGCCCACACAGCGTGGCTTTGTTATCCCTTTCACCTCATGGGTTGGATTGGCTGCATCCATGAAGGAGTTATATGGGCAACCCCTACATTACTTGACCAATGTCCACATGAAGAAGTTGGATTCAATGAGGTTTGGTAGTGATGATGAAGATGTTCCATTAGATACCATCATCGATCCTAGAAAAGCTGAAGCAACCATCTGGCTTATTGAAGAAGTTCACAGGTCTACATCATCTCATCATTACATAGCTAGACTTTGGCTTGCTGATCCAATGTATCATATCCATGTTGATGCAATTTTCCCTAAGCTGCAGAATTCATTAAAATAGATTCTTATCCAATCTATCTTTGATCAACTTGGAATCCCATCTCCATCACTCTTTCCCAAACAACCATGTATGTAAAAAAAATTGCAGATCATATGGATGCTTTAAGTTCTCATTTCATGTCTGATGTAGTGAACATATGGGCTATGTAGTAAACTTGCGCTTGTGAGATATGTGGTGAAGCAGAAGTTCTATTGCGTCTTTGCGGTTGTCAACTTAAGATAAATGTAATACACCTATGAGCAGTGGAGTAGTTAAGAAGATATGAGTTCAAGTTAACCCAACTTTCTGACACAGTTTGGGCATAGATATATGTTCGAAAACTCATATTTTACATTAAGTTAGATATGTGATATCGTGTATACTGAAGTTAAACATTGAACAGCATGTATGAAACACTTCTATGTGCAAATAACAAAGTATATTTTATAGATAACAAGTGACTGACGTAAAATCGACAAAAAGACCTATGATCAATCATATCTCTCTCTCACTCACATATGATATTGTGTACACTGTAGTTAAACATTGAACAGCGTGTATGAAACGCTTCTATGTGCAAATGGCAAGTACATTTTATAGATAAGAAGTGACTGACGTAAAATCGACAAAAAGACCTATGATAAATATATATCACACACACAAATATGTATGTATATATATATATATATATATATATATTTGTGATTTTTATAAAAAGTTGCGACTTTTATGAAGAATTTTACTTTTATGAAATGTTGTAATTTTTTCGAAGAGTTGTGACATTTCAGGTAAGGTATAATAAATATTTGTTTGTACAACCTTTTTTGTTTATAAATAGAGGGGTTTCCTCTCATTTAAAACAATGAAAATTTTGAACTTCTTATTCTTTTGCACAATTAAATATTAGATTTTGAACTACTTTTTCTTCTTCTTCAGCACAATAAAATATTTGTATACTTTGTTCATGTTGAACGGCTCACTGACACTTTTGTTTTTGTTTCATTACACCGATGAATCAAATTGATTCATCCTGAGAGTATCTATTTCTTTAATCCTCGGATACTAGAGGAATAAATTTCTTACGGAGACATTATGCATTCAGTGAGCTCAATTTTCCTTTCTGTTTCTTCTATAGTTAGAAATCCTGGTATGTATTTTTTACAGTTATTAGTTTATGCGCATGATTTAATTGCTGTTTTTGAGTAAATGTTTTTAAACTTTGTTGTTTATGTCTCTGTGAAATAATTGTTATAAGTATTTGTTAGTACATACTCTATGTAAATTCAACAACTGCAGATTCACAAATAACTTTTTACAAAAATATTTTGCTGTTGTCATAATAATGTTAATATTAACAAGAGAAAAAAAATAATAGAAAATCAAATAATCATATATTACTAAAAGCATGAACCAAAAAAAGTTAAAAGTTGAATTACTATTTTACCCCTTCTATAAATTAAATTGTTATAAAATATTTAAATATTTGATTGTATAAATTTAATTAAAATGTTAATGACTTTTAGATTTCTTAAGATTAATTTTTAATTAAATATCTAATTAATTAATATTTATCATTTATAATCTATATGTATATAATAATTATAAAAAATTTTTAAAATGATTTCTACCTAAATTGCTATATTTTTCCTCTTCTCATAATTTTTTCCTTAACCCCGCTCATGAATAATAAAATTCATGTGGATAAAGTATTATCCTTAATGATAAATAACGAAATTCAATAATTTAAAGGTTGTAAATCTGCAAAATGGAGACACACATTGATACTGTCCTCTTGACTATTATTAAAGAATGACTCTATCTTCACAAATTTAAATTCATTAACGCTTATTACGTGATGAGAACTTTAGTTGTTCTTTCTACATGGTTTGCTAATTTTAATTTTCTTTTTCATATTCTTCATTTATTTATTATTATTTGTTAATTACTTATTCACTTTTATACTCTTAATATTCATAACTATCATTTTTTCATATTCATAACCTTCAAATATTTGAACTAAAACTTTAAGATTTCTTTTGATATTCCTTCTATTCTATCTATATAAATTCAACATCTTTATCTCATGAAACTCCTACCAAGATTATTAGGCTGTCATTTTTATTCTATAGTTAAAGTAGATGAAGAAGCCTATTGAATTCTGCGCAGTTTCTCATCATTAGACTGTCTTCCCTTAATCTTGTCAAGGAAGAAAGATCTTGCCTCCACAGAAGCCAACAATCCTCCCCTCTCATTTACTTCTAATCTCATCAAGTCATTAGCTAGAGTTTGAACCTCTCTAGCCAATGGGCGTCTAGAAGCTTTCAAGTGAGCTAGACTTCCCATGCTTCCCGCCTTCCTACTTAAAGCATCCGCTACAACATTCGCCTTCCCTGGATGATACAAGATAGTGATATCGTAGTCCTTTAGTAACTCCATCCATCTCCTCTGTCTTAAGTTCAAATCTTTCTGAGTAAAGACATACTGAAGGCTACGATGATCCGTATAGATCTCACACTTAACCCCATATAAATAGTGTCTCCATTGTTTTAATGCAAACACTACCGCGGCCAATTCCAAATCATGAGTGGGATAGTTACGTTCATGCACTTTTAATTGTCTTGAAGCATAAGCAATCACACTCTTCTCTTGCATTAGTACTGCACCCAAACCAGAATAGGATGCATCACAATAAACATTGAAGTTCTTACCCTCTACTGGCAAGGTAAGGATAGGTGCGGTAGTCAACAAAGTCTTGAGCTTCTGAAAGCTTTCCTCACATTCATCCGACCATACAAATGGGACATTCTGCTTAGTCAAGTTCGTCAATTTTGAAGCGATAGAAGAGAATTCATTGACGAATCGGCGGTAGTAGCTAGCTAACCCAACAAAGCTCCTTATTTCTGACACATTAGTAGGTCTTACCCAATTCTTCACTGTCTCAATCTTATAAGGATCCACCATCACTCCATCCTTAGAAACCACATGTCCCAAGAAGGACACTGCATCTAGCTAAAACTCACACTTAGAGAACTTGACATAATGCTTTTTCTCCCTTAACATTTCCAATACCATTCTCAAATGCTCTTCATGTTCCTTCTTGCTCTTTGAGTATACCAATATATCATCAATAAATACGATCACGAAGAGGTCCAAATATGGCTTAAATATCCCGTTCATCAAGCTCATGAACGCAGCAGGGGCATTCGTAAGACCAAAAGAAATCACTACAAATTCGTAATGCCCATACCTCGTTCGAAAAGCAGTCTTTGGCACATCCGTTGCTCATATTTTCAATTGATGATAATCGGATCTCAAGTCAATCTTAGAGAAGACACAAGCACCTTGTAACTGATCGAACAAGTCATCAATGCGAGGAAGAGGGTACTTGTTCTTTATGGTTACCTTATTCAGTTGTCTGTAGTCTATGCACATTCGAAAACTGCCACCCTTTTTCTTTACAAACAAAACCGGAGCACCCCAAGGAGATGCACTTGGTCTAATGAAGCCTTTGTTCAATAACTCTTGAAGTTGTGCTTTTAACTCTCTTAACTCCGCGGGAGCCATTCTATAAGGGGGTATAGAAATGGGGCGAGTACCGGGTTCAAGATCAATACAGAAGTCAATATCCCTATCCGGTGGCATACCAGGAAGATCTGCAGGGAACACATCCAGAAACTCACGAACTACTGAAATCGACTCAATCGAAGGTACTTGGGTAGTGTCATCCTTGAGATGTGACAAGAAAGCTAAACACCCTTTACTAATCATTTTCTTAGCACGATGATACGCACCGGATTGGAAGTGTAGTCACCCTCCCACACTAAGGATCTGTCCCAGGCTTGGCTAACGTCACCGTTTTAGCATTACAATCCAAGATTGCAAATTGCGGAGAAAGCCAAGTCATACCCAGAATCACATCAAAATCATCCATTTCTAAGATAACCAAATCTACATAGGTGTTGCTCCCCACAAAGTTCACCAAACAAGACCTATACACCTTTTCAACTACCACAGACTCACCCACCGGAGTAGAAACACGAATAGGCATATCAAGTAATTCACAATGTAAATTAAGACCATTAGCAAATGCGGAAGATACATAAGAAAATTTGGATCCGGGATCAAATAATACAGAAGCCATGCAATCACAAACCAGAAGATTACCTGTGATGACAACATCAGATGCCTCCGCTTCAGACCGCCCAGGGAAAGCGTAACACTGGGCCCTATCGTTTGTCTGTCCGTTGCCCCTACCATGTTGTGATGTAGTGGCCCCAGTTTGCCCATTACCTCTCCCATTTTGGTGACCACCATTACCTCGACCACCACGTCCTCCAGAATAACGGCCTCTACCATGACCACCTCTACCTCTAGCTATTGGGGGTCTATAACTTTGTCTGGGACAATTTTTCCTAATATGTCCAATCTTCCCACATTCTTAACATTCTCTGGAGTCAATCATAGGCCCCTCGGAGAAGTGTTGATCGGTCTGAGGTGGTCCCCCAACTACAGTCTGTAGTGAAGACTGAATTGGTCGGACTGAGTAACTTCCCGAACCCTGTCCTCTAGTGTAAGAACCATTAAACTCACCTCCCTTTCGAAACCTTTTTGATGTCGATGTTGTGGTGAAGTCGTCTGGCTTCACTCCTTCCACTTCTATCACAAAGTCTACCACTTCTTGGAAGGATTTTGCCGTTGCCGCTATCTGTAAGGCCGAAATCCGCAATTCTAACCTAAACCCCTTCACAAACCGGCGAATCCGCTCTTGAGGATTGAAACAGAGTTGAGTGGCATATCTGGACAGTACACGGAACTTAGCCTCATAAGCATTAACCGACATCCTACCTTGCTCTAGGCTCAGGAACTCATCCCTTTTCCTATCCCTCAAAGTCCGGGGGATATACTTCTCCATAAACAAGCTAGAGAATGAGGCCCAAGTCATAGGTGGTGCCTCTGTCGGTTGACACTCAACATGGGATCGCCACCACATTTTGGCGTTCCCTTGAAACTGATAAGTCACAAACTCCACACCAAACCGTTTTACTATACCCATTTTGTGTAGTAGCTCGTGACAGTCAACCAAAAAATCATAAGCATCCTCCGATTCAGCACCCTTGAAGACTGGAGGTTTCAATTTCAAGAACTTACTGAAAAGTTCATGCTGATCACTTGTCATTATAGGCCCCGTAGTCAGACGTGGAAACGTGCCTATTTCCAATGGAACATCCATGCGGGGAGCCATAGTAGCCGCATGTTGTACCTCCGGAGCCTGAGGTGCT